ATCTATCAATCCAACATGTGGTGATGTAAAGACACCACACATGAACTGATAGAAGTAATGTGATTTTTCTGAGCTTGTTTTTGACAGGCCAGTGCTGATAATGGAATCAGAATTTGAAAAGTTGAAAATCAGCCATCTCACTGTAAGGTGAAGCTGAGATCTGAAACTTGGCAAGTTCATATGGATCATCCAAGGTCAAGGGTTCCTGACCTTGAATTCAGTCCCACTTTTACTAGCCTGTGCTGCTCTGGCAACTTGAGAGGCCTCATCGAACCTCTAAATGCGGCAGTTATTCTACAAATTTAGCTGTTCTGCAATTAGCTATAAATTTTAAATGTCCATTTGTTAATTTGAGGAAGAGTATCATTGCCTTACTAAAATATCTCAGTAAATGAGTATGTGTCGATGGATGCTATTAGATTTTTAATTAATAATTTAATAATTACTTCTTTAGAAAAGTGTAAAACATTACCAAAAAAGGCAAAGAGAATAGTCTGAGTTATACCCATCTACTCTTCAACTTAGTATGATATGTGTTTACACTGTCATCTTTGATTCTGAGCCTGATTTTATAACATAGAATATTAAAGGAGTTGATAGTTTAGTTTCTTATATAGTCCAACTTTTTCACTCCTTTGCTCTCTAGATAGAGGCAACTGCTGTCACAAATTTTGTTTTGCTTCAGATTATGTTTTTATATGTGTACTACACACATATGTAATCATTTACAAAATACATCATTAGCTTATGATTTAATACATTCATGCATGTTTTCCATCTTTCTACAACCTGCTTTTTTTGCATTGTTTTCAAAATCTATTCTATTTAACTTGTACAGCTCTAGTTTATTCATATAATCTGCTTTCTGCTTTCTAGTATTTCTAGTAGTCTTTTTTTGCAATTTATTTTTATTATAACTTATTTATGAGCACATAGGCTTTTTCCAAGTTTCGTTTTATGTTGTGTTTCTTTTGTTTCTGTGCTATTAATAACAATGTGGGAGTTGACATTCCTATATACACAAGCCTGCTACATACAGAACTTCTTGCACTATTTATGTAAAAGAAAAATTCTAGATTGTTGTCTAGACCTATTTTTATCTTTACCAAATGGCTTTAAAATGTTTTTCTCTGTTATTTGCTTTAAGCAGTTCTATCCTTGACACGTTCCTGTAACATTATGGTGAAGCATTTTAATCATGGTCAACTTGTGAATATGAGATGGTATCAGATTGTTTTTTAATTTTTTCTCTGAATTTTAGATTCCAGGAAAAATAGAACATATTCAAATCTTGGTTGTATTTTTGTGTGTGTAGATACATACACACATCTTTCATTATTTGTGGATTAATAATAAATTATAATGTATAGGTTATTTGTGAAGAATTGATGTATGTCTGATACTAATTCTTAATATTTATAGTCATAGATAGACTAGCTCTCCAAGTAACAATTTTTAAAATGTATTTTAGTAGTATTTTACAATTCCCTCCATACATTTAGATTTTCAAAGTAGATATTTTTAGTTTTTATTACTTTTATATTAGAAACAATCTTTTTTTTTTTGAGATGGAGTCTTGCTCTGCTGCCAGGCTAAAGTGCAGTGGTGCAATCTTGGCTCACTGCAACCTCCACTTCCTGGTTTCAAATGATTCCCCTGCCTCAGCCTCCCGAGTAGCTAAGACTACAGGTGCCCACCACCACGCCAGGCTAATTTTTTGTATTTCAGTGAAGATGGGGTTTCACCATGTTGGCCAGGATGGTCTTGATCTCCTGACCTCATGATCCGCCTGCCTCAGCCTCTAAAAGTTCTGGGATTACAGGTGTGAGCCACCATGCTCAGCCTAGAAACAATCTTTATTGCACTTGTTACTTTTGTTATCATTATTTTAAATAATATATTTTACATTATATTTTCTAATGGTTCATTGTAGGTACACCGGAAACCTACTGATATTTGCGTAATGCTCTTTGATACAGTAACCTTACTGAGCTCTTATTTGTTCTAATAATTTATGTGTATACTCTCCAACAGATTACTCATGGATTTTTAACAGTAGATGTTGATGCCTCTTTTCTTTTCTTCTCTTATGTCATTGCCTGAGACCACCAGTACAATGCTGAATGGTGGTAGAAGTACTAAACATCCTTGTTTTGATTGGACCTAAGTGGGAATTTCTTACTGTATCAGCATAAAATATGATATTTATTGCAGATTTTTGAAATTTTCCTCTTATCAAGTTATCGACAATCTCTTTTAGCTCTAGTTTGCTAAGACTTTTTGAGTAATGATTAAGCACTGACTATCATCTATAGTTATTTAGGGGATTATATGTTCTTCCTTTTTAAAATCTGTTAACTTTAAATAATAACATTAACCATTATTTTCTTGCTTAAATATTCTTTTTTTTTTGAAAGATTCACAATTTTAATATTCTAAGGGACTCAGTTTATCTGGGTTTTATTAAGTTTTCTATCTATTTTAGTGGGAATACCTAATTATTTAAAAATGTACAATCCTTTCCAGATTGACTTTTTGCTTAAAATATAAATTACTTGATACTTGATAGATTTGTGAAACTTTCTTATCAAGAGGTAGGAGATTTTTGATATCTGATTTTTTTATTTTAATTTAAAAATTTTTTCTTCTTTCTCTTTTAGTATTTATATTTCTATTTATTCTTAATTAAATACTGATAATTTTAAACAACTTGTTCATTTTATGAAGTTTTAAAAACTTATTGAAACTAAATTATTAAATATACTTTCCTGTTTTGTTTTAATATTTACTATACCTGTCCCATTGTAATACATTTGAATCTTCTTTTCCTGATGAACATTATGGGAGATTTGTCTATTATATTTGTATTTCAAAGTGCCAATTTTGAATTTGTTGGTTATCTATATATTTTTGCTAATTAAGTCTGTTCTTAAGTTTGCTATTTCCTTTCTTTTACTATCTTCAAATTTTCAAAATACAAGTTGAGAAATTTTGAAAACTTATTTTGATCTTTTTTGTCATAAAATAAATACATTTATAGCTATACATTTATCTTTAAGTACCATCTTTGTGGCAATACACAGGTTTTTAAATGTGTAATATATTTATTGTTGCATATGAGCAAATGTTTTATAATATCTAAACTGTTAACTGCCTTAGTTCAATTTATTTCATAGTATATACATTAAATTAAAATTAAACAATAAATTAGTAAAATAAATATTAAATTAATAAGAAATAAATGTATATATTATGTTTCCTAATTTTATTGGATTTTCAGAAACTATCTTTTCAGTATCAACTTTTATATTAATGTCATCAGTTCAGATAATTTGATAAATATGTTATTGATTCTTTGGAGTTCTTAGTTTCATGGAGCATGATAAAAAATTACAGTTAGCTTATTTTTCCTTTTGAAAATCAACAAGTTATGACACACACACACATTTATGTAGCCATTGTAACTACTACCACAATCAAGGTAAAAATATGTCCTTCATCACTGAAATTTTTCTCATCTCTCTTTGCAGGAGATATTTTCCAAGGCCAGAGCAGCAATACTGCTGTTTTGCATTTTTTCACTATAGATTACTTTTGTTTATTTAGAACATCATGCAAGTGAAATTATTTATTCTGTGATTTTCCAGCACGAATTATTTGGCCCAATTCTTTTGAGATTCATTCATGTTATTTGTATTTGTTATTAATTCATTTCTCATATTACTGAATATTATTCTGTTATATGAATATATTTAAATGTGTTTATACATTCCTCTAATGATGGGTATTAAAGTGATTTCCAGATTTTAGCTGTTATAAATAAATCTATAAACATTCACTTCTTTTGTGGATGTACTTTTTACTTACATAGAGTGTATAACTAATGAGTGAAATTTCTGGGAAATACGGTTAGTGTTTGGGTGACTCTATTAGAAACTGCCAAACTAGAACTGTGTTTGGCACACATAGAACCGTGTTCTAATGTGGTTAAATCTTTTATATTTCTCAAAACTGCTCTAATTCCTCACAGATACTTGGTATTTTCTTAAGCTTTGAATAGGGTGACCTGGAAAGACTTAGCTGAACAAAATGAGGATACACTTGAAGCAGATGAAGGAGTTTTCATGTGGGTATCAAGGGGAAGAGCTTTGCAGGCAAAGAGAACAGCCCCTGCAAAGACCTGGGATCCAAGGAGGAACCCAGTGTGGCTGGGGTGGAGAGAACTCACTGAGGGAAAGCAAGGGAACAGAGATGTCAAACTTTGTAGGATGCTGAAAGACACAGGGAGAACTTTGACTTAGAAGTGGAAACAGTAACGACTATAACGTGAGAAGAAGTGGAAGTATAAATCTGGCTGAGGTGCTGGGAAAAAATTATAGAAATGTTCAGGTTGGGGCAGGAAGACAGTGAGAGGCTATTGCAGCAATCCAGCAAGAAAAAATGGTGGCTGGGACTAAAGGGAATGACAGCGATGCTGAGAAATGGTAGGATTTTTAAAGATATCTGAAGGGAGAACCAGCAAAATGGCCTAGTAGAACTGGATGCTGAATGTGAGAGGGAGAAAAGAAGCAAGAATGACCCAAGATTTTACCCTGAATGACTGATTTGCCAACAGCTGAAATAGGTAGAGCAAGTTTGGGGGTGAATATCAGGAGATCTGTTTCAGAAAGCTTGAGTTGAATATATCTGTTAGAAAGAAATCAAAGCGGCTAGGGTGAACAGGTATTGCATTTATGAGTGTAAGAGTTCAAGAAAGAGGTTCTAGACAGTGGATTTATTGTGCATAAATACTGTTATGAACCATAAAACTACTATTTCATTCTATGATCAACCTAAGTTTAGTCTTTGTTTGGTTTTTCTTTTTAACATTACACTTTGGAATCCTTCCAGCTTTCATGCCACTTCATAGAAATATGCACACTGTTGGGTAATTTATCAGCAATTACATCTGTTGACATTCCAGCTGTTCCTCATGGTAGCTTCCTCTCTCTCAAAATCAGAAAACCAAGAATAAAATGACACCTGACAACCTCGCCAGCTCAGCACATCTGGAGGCACTAAATGTCTGACTCAGGAAATGTGCATCAAACTGACGGGTGAGAAAGTACTTAAGAAACCATTATAAGTTTCAATTTCTGAAGGTTTTAAAAATAATTAGAAAAATGAATTTAAATGAGTTATATTTTTAGATTATTGAAACATTCCCTCCAACCATGGGTTTTTTGGGACAACGTAACCATTTTGCATCTTATGCTCTAGAGAACATTTTAGTACTTAGAAAAAACATCGCACAGTCTAAAATATGGATAATGTATAAAAATAGAACAGTTTACTGATCATGTGTGAAGCAATACTAATAATGAAAGCTAAATTTAGCTAACCATCCAACATAAACAAAGAAAATATTTTCTGTCATATTCTAGAAGACTTAAGTTTTAAAATATTTATATGTAAGTTTCTCATTAGTGTTATTATTCCAGGCTTATTGTGTAAAGTTGATGATGCTAAGGTCAAGTGTTGGTGACATCATTTTTTCAGCTTTCTTCACTTGTTTACAGTTGGAAGGAACTGGCTTTAGATTTCTTTGCTGTTCAATTATACCTGCCGAGCTTTTCTTGTGTTCAAAAACACAAACTGTAGTTAGTAATCGATAGTTGGTTTTGGTATTCGGGCAACAATTCATATGTTCTTTTGTACCGTATGTACTTGAAATAACATCCTCAATTCCTTTCTAATCAATTAAAGGTTAGTACAGGCCCTTCCTTGTTACATGATTTGTGTATATATAAAGTAAACCTCTTTTAATGAAAGTAGGGCAATGTGCTTCCTTTAGTGACAACTGTGAAAGGATATCCACCAAAAGCCTGGTACCATTATTTTTAACATGCAACTTAGTGTTGCCATTTAAAAAAAATTATTATTATTATTATTATTATTATTATTTGACACTGAGTTTCGCTCTTGTTACCCAGGCTGGAGTGCAATGGTGAGATCTCGGCTCACCACAACCTCCGCCTCCTGGGTTCAGGCAATTCTCCTGCCCCAGCCTCCTGAGTAGCTGGGATTACAGGCACGCGCCACCATGCCCAGCTAATTTTTTGTATTTTTAGTTGAGACGGGGTTTCACCATGTTGACCAGGATGGTCTCAATCTGTTGACCTCGTGATCCACCCGCCTCGGCCTCCCAAAGTGCTGGGATTACAGGCTTGAGCCACCGTGCCCGGCCAGTGTTGCCATTTTTAATATAATTTCAGTATTTGTTTTCATACTGGTTGATGGAAAGCCTAGAAACAGTGATGCTAATTTTCAGTTTTCCCTCATCGCTTATGTTCTCTTGCAGAATACACCAAAACATATGTTCATCTTTGTGAAGAAGCTTGTGTTTTTGTTTTTACTCTGTGTTGTAATAAACATGAGTTCACAACAAGTTGCAAGGTAATACATGCATCCCTTCATCTAATTTCACCAAAATCATTACATCCTATAGAATTATAGTATAATTCAAAACCAGGAATTTGAAGTTGCGATAACGCGCCTGATAGTTCTACTGTTCAATGCCATTTTATCACATGTAGATTTGTGTAACCATCAATGTGCATTTTCATAAGATGTAATAAAGTAATTTTCTAAGTTAAAAGTGTTAATACTCATACATATAAATGATGTCTGTTCCTCAAAATAATTACTTAAAAGACTATGTTTCTGAAGGTCTCTTCTTTTGTAATGGTACATCTATTTTTTTGCAAGAAACAAAGGAAACCTACCTAGTTCATTAATTCTTCCCTGAAATCTTACTGTATTTGCCTTTTACAATTGCTATCTCATTCTCTGTTTTCACTATGCTAAATTCTCAATTCTTGTTTTAAACCTAAGACTTTCCCATTGCTTACTTCACTGCTGGCAAACTGCTTTGCCTCCAAATTTTCTGAGAAAATAAGACTCAGACATGAGCTCCTTCGTCTTCTCAGCAACCTTGGCTACAATGGAAGTACCCAGCATCCTATCCAAAACACTCCCCTCCACTGTTCACTTCCTCCCTCGACATGGTAGATGAGAGAAAGATTAAGAGAGCTTTCCTTCTGGTGAAAAGTCCCTGATGCCCCTCACCTTGCAACACTGATCTCTGTAAATTTTGCAGTCCCTCCCATTCCCTACTCAAACCTAAGGCATCCTGTTCTCGCTTGGCCAAAAATAATTACTCTGCTTGAAGTTAAAAGGATGTAACTCTTTTAATTGTAAAAAGGGTTATTCATGAAAATGGAAATCTGTTTGATATTGTGTATTGAGGATTATTTTTACCAGATCTTGCAGCTCCGGCCATGTGTGGGTCAGCCCATAGTTCCCTGGCTTTAGAGGTGGAAAGTACATTATCAAGTTCTTCTGGGGAGAGACCCAAGCTTAGCCAAGACGAAACTGCACTGGAGTCTCTCCTCATTGAATCACTTGAGTAGAACGTTCACTCATAATATTGCCAATACAGTTTGAAAAAGGCTCTCAAACTTAATGCTGAACATCCAGTTTGTTTTATTAATATTTAAATGGATATATTTCTGGGTGAAATATACACTCAGTGAATAGACATTTTAAGCTGTACTTGAATGTGTTTCACCTTGTAGCTTGAGTATTATCATTATGCCATGAGTATGGCATATTTCGATATTTTGAATAACCGAAGACAGAAAACAGAATATTTGATTTGTGTGAACCTGCTGTGTGTATACAATGTTTTCTTGGAGAAAGTGAGCTTATTTTTGTGACCCAATTAGAAACATGCTGAAATAGTCAAGAATCATTTGGACAGTCAGTGAACCCAAGGGTCTGTAAAAAGCAGCAAAGGTGATCCAGTACTAATGCTTGCTTCCAGATTGCCCCCATTCCCTAAGCAAGTAGTATTCAAAATTTTAAGTGACCTCAGGCTAAAACCTGTTAAATCCATTGTCAGTTCATTTGCAAATTCTTCTCTCTCCCTAACCTGAAAATGTTTGAATTTTCTAATCCATGTAGTCAGCAGTTGACTGTGGAATTTTTGCTTACCCTAGGCAAACTGTAAATTGCCTACTCTTTCCAAATCCCATTCTTTGACTCACACACCGGTCTTGCATTTCATTCCTAGCAATGTTTTGCATTTGGAAGGTGGCCACCTGCTCTGCCTCTGTGGTAAAGTTGGACTTGCATTTAGAACATGCACAGATTTAATATCAATTAACCATTTTAACCAAACTCTGCTGTAAGACTGAGATGAAATTCTGGTTCAAATTAGTCAGTGAACCACCTATCTAGAGGCTGTTAGAGTGCTGATGCAGTGACAAACATCATTTCTTCTCAAGCTCCTCAGAGACGCCATAATGAAGTTTCCTGGGTGGAGTAGTGTAAGAAATCTATTTTGTGGTATTTAGAAAAGATAATGTTGCAGGTGCCAATACACACAAATGGAATTCAAATCCTATTGTGTCTGAATAAGCAAAAAATGAAGGGTAGATTGTATTAAAATAATTCCCTTGTTTACAATCATCTGTTGCACCTGCTGAGTTAATGTTGTCTATTAGCATCCCAAAGTAATTAGTATTTTAATGAAGGCATGCTATAACCTCATATAGTTAATACTAACTTGGTTTTGTTGATTTCTTTAGTATCTGTCATCGTCCTCATCAAAGCTGTTGGTCTGTGTCACCTCTAAGCTTACTGTTTCTTGAATGTCATGACATAATTTAAGAATTCAGTACTACAAGGCTACAGTAATCACAACAGCATGGTACTGGTACCAAAACAAAGATATAGACCAACGGAACAGAACAGAGGCCTCAGAAGCAACACCACACATCTACAACCATCTGATCTTTGACAAACCTGACAAAAACAAGCAATGGAAAAGGATTCCCTGTTTAATGAACGGTGTTGATAAAACTGGCTAGTCCTGTGCAGACAGCAGAAACTGGACCCTTCCTGACACCTAACACTGAAATTAACTCCAGATGGATTAAAGACTTAAACATAAGACCTAACACCATCAAAACCCTAGAAGAAAACCTAGGCAAAACCATTCAGGACATAGGCATAGGCAAGGACTTCATGACCAAAACACCAAAAACAATGGCAAAAAAAAGCCAACATTGACAAATGGGATCTAATTAAACTTCAGAGCTTCTGTACAGCAAAACAAACAATCATTAGAGCTAACCAACAACCAACAGAATGGGAAAAAATTTTTGCAATCTACCCAACTGACAAAGGGCTAATAACCAGAATCTGCAAAGAACTAAAACAGATTTACAAGAAACAAACAAACAAACCCATTCTAAAGTGGGCAAAGAATATTAACAGACACTTGCGGCTAACATATGAAGAAATGCTCATCATCACTGGTCATTAGAAAAATGCAAATCAAACCACACTGAGATACCATCTCATGCCAATTAGAAGGGCAACCATTAAAAAATCAAGAGACAACAGATGGTGGAGGGGATGTAGAGAAAAAATAGGAATGCTTTTACACTGTTGGTGGGAGTGTAAATTAGTTCAACCATTGTGGAAGACAGTGTGGTGATTCCTCAAGGATCTAGAAATAGAAATTCCGTTTGACCCAGCAATCCCATTACTGGGTATATACCCAAAGGACTATAAATCATTCTATTATAAAGACACATGCACATGTTATGTTTGTTTCAGCACTGTTTACAAGAGCAAAGACCTGGAACCAACCCAAATGCCCATCAATGATAGACTAGACAATGAAAATGTGGCACATATACACCACGGAATACTGTGCAGCCATAAAAAATGATGAGTTTGTGTCCTTGCAGGAACATGGATGAATCTGGAAACCAGCATTCTCCACAAACTGACGCAAGAACAGAAAACCCAACACTGCATGTTCTCACTCATAGGCAGGTGTTAACAATGAGAATACATGGATATAGGGAGGGGAGCATCACACACTGGGGCCAGTTGTGGTGGCGGGGTAGGGGGAAGAGGGGGCTAGATATAGGTGATGGGGGGATGGAGGCAGCAAACCACCTTGCCATGTATGTACCTATGCAACAATCCTGCATGATCTGCACAGGTACACCAGAACCTAAAGTACAATAAAAAAAAAATTATTCAGAAAAATGGTCATTGCTTTTGAACACTGATGACATTGAATTTTGCATAGTTTAAGAAAAGAGGATTTTAAACACAATCTGTGTTGAAGCTTATGGAACAAATATTCTGGTAATAGTAATAACAACATCTTCTTAAAGAGCAGAAATGTCTTACCCTCATCTAAATATCTGTAGGTGAACAATACAATAAAACCTTTGGTCAATGTAGTAAAAGAATGTCTCCTAAATAGGCTCTCTGCTCTACCATTTCTTCCCTATTGTGTAATCTGAGCAGGGTAGCAAATGTGATTCTTTTAACGCATTAGGCAGATCATCTAACTGCTACTGGACAGTGACTACATTTTACTCAATTAAAACAAAGTCTTCAAACGCCCTACATGCGGCTTTTCTGAGGTGGCCTCCCCACTGTTTCTCCGGTCTCACCTCCCATTCTTCTTCCCTTTATGAACTTCCTATGGTTTTAGGATGCTTGCTTGGGGTGTTCTTCCCCTCTGTATTTGCAGAGCAACCTCTCCAAGTCCTTCAACTGTTACTCACCTCTTAATGGAAAACATCTACTTAGGCTACTTAAAATTAGAACACTCCCCTTGAGATGCCTGTTTCCCCTTATACTGTTCTCTCTCTCTCTCTTTCTGCCTTTAGCTCTTATCATTTTCTAGCATACTATGTATTTAGCATAATATTTTATTGTCAAGAATTTTCAAGCTTTTACTCCACTTGAAAGCCAACAAATGAAACTATTGCAATTTCATGGATGCTGTCATAAAATGTAAAACTAGGTGTATTAGCCAGTGTTCTCTTAGAAGGACAGAACTAATAGGATATATTACAGTATATATTAGTTCTGTCCTTAGATATACAATAGGATATATTAGTACTGTCCTTCTAAGAGGACACTAATACACCTAGTTTTATATGTATATAAAGGGAGTTTATTAAATATTCATTTACATGATCACAACATCCCACAATAAGCTATCTGCAAGCTGACCATCAGGGAGAGCCAGTCTGAGTCCCAAAACTGAAGAACTTGGAGTCTGATGTTCGAGGGAAGGAAGCATCCAGCAGGGGAGAAAGGTGTAGGCTGGGAGGCTAGGCCAGTCTCTCCTTTTCATGTTTTTCTGCCTGCTTAATATTAGATGGTAGGTGATTAGATTGTCTCCACCAAATTAGGGTGGATCCGCCTTCCCCAGCCCACTGAATTAAATGTTAATCTCTTTTGCCAACACCCACAAAGACACACCCAGGATTAATACTCTGTATCCCTCAATCCAATGAAGTTAACTCTCAGTATTAATCATCACACTTGGTCAGAGACAAAATATTTTATTATGTATGACACAGCAAGCTAGATGGACATCACCATGTTTGCATCAGTTTCCCTTGCCTCAAGTAGCATGGGGGCGAGGTGGGTGGGCCAGAGGGAAGCCTGCACTCCCACAGTATTGCCATGTTACATGAGATGAACACTGAGCTTAGGAAACCTGATTCTTTCACAGCGGGCAATTCCTACTCTCCCTCTAGAGGGAGATACTATCTATCTTCCAAGGCTGTTCACTGTACAATTATTCTTGTACAATTGGCCAGAAAAAGGGCAGTCAGTGTCTTGTCTGCGAGGTGTGCACATGAAAGACCCATGAAGAATGATCTCCCAACAATAATGTTTACTGTTTATCATATATGCCTCTCACAGTACACATTTCCTAAGAGAGAGATTTTATTTCTTCAGTGAAATATTTAAAAAGCATGGAAAATGATCTTGGACTTTGTTTAATCAATCCACAATTTCCAGCTCTGATATCTTCTTCCTTGGTGACTTTAGCCAGAGTAATCTGTATCAGTATTAATTTTTTTCAACCATAAAATGGGACTAGTAAGTAACACCTCTCTAACACATTGTGAGGAGAATTTAATGTAAGGTATCATTAAGTGCTGGGAGTCCCGAAGGCTGAAACGTACATGAGATGTGGAATTCCATCATTTTACTGTCACGTTAACCTCTGCCAAATGTGATGACTCTCAAATTTATATCGCTAGCCCAAACTTCTTCCCTAATCTTAGTCCCATATATCCTATCTTTCGTAGGCATGTGCACCAAAACTGAATTCATGTTGTCTTCCCCAACTGGGTCCTCTTCTAGGATTCCTTAACCCAGTACATGACTCTTTCATCCACTAATTTGTACAAGCCATCATCTAGGAGTCCTCTGACTCTCCCTTATAGCACTCAGCACCTCTTCCCCGCCTCATGTCTAGCACTCAGTACTCCTTCTTAATTTCATCTCTTAAATATCCCTGAACGCTATCCATTTTTTTCTATTTCTACTGATGGAAACTTGAATCAATGCTAGTGAATCCCAACTGTCTCAGACCAGTGCCTTTTTTTATAGCAAATGTTTTGTAATACATCCTTTCATATATGAAAAAGAAAATGCATAAATAAGGAAACTTACATATGAAATTTCAAAATAAAACCAAAATATTTAGCTGTAATATGAAATATGCACATAAAGAAAATGAATTATATTAAATTAGATCGTCCACATACAATAAATTAGATTGTATTTCAGTATGAAAATATCAGGCTTGGCTAGACGAGAAGACGTAACAATATTGTCAGAGGTTTTTACCTACATAAATCTGTGTGAATGTGGCAGCTACAACGGCACACAGGTCAATTGTACTAGACTCAGATACCATGAACAGCACTACCTTCGGTGGTATGATTTTCCAAAATGGCAACAGCACATAGTAATTTCCCAAACTGAAGTGTTAGGTTGGTGCAAAAGTAATTGCAGTTTTTGCTCTTAAAAGTAATAACAAAAACTGCACCAACCTGATATAATCACCTCTCCACTCACATGGTAGGTGCACATTCCTTGAAAATTCAATGTGTCCATAAATCACCCAAAAATACTGTGTTTATGTAAAGGTAACATCACATTAGGTTCTAGGTAATTTTTTAAATTTTTGATTTACGTCTCTGCTTTTGAGTGAAATACTTTAAAGTCTGTGAGACACAGACAATTCTCCCTTTAAGGCTGAGTGTCCTGCACATTGTAAAATATGCCTAGGAGGACTGGACCTCACCAAACAATAAGTGGCACTAGCCACTCCTCTATAAAAAGAACAAATGGAACAAAACATTCTCATAAATTTTTAATATTGTCCCTGAATAGATGCTACTCCCATTTAGAACCATGGCTGTAGACGAAACAATTTGTATACCTCATTAGCCTAACAATCTTTTGTTTCACTCTTATTTCCATTACTTTATTCTCTACTTTAGTCAAAGCTGTTTACCAAATCCAACATGATTATGCCACCTGGGTTAGAGTTCTGCAGACAAAACAGAACAAGTAGAAAATGAGACAGAGAGATTGCTGGGTCAAATGGAATTTCTATTTCTAAAGCCTTGAGGAATCGCCACACTGTCTTCCACAATGGTTGAACTAATTTACACTCCCACCAACAGTGTAAAAGTGTTCCTTTTTCTCCACATCCTCTCCAGCATCTGTTGTCTCCAGATTTTTTAATGATCGCCATTCTAACTGGCGTGAGATGGTATCTCAATGTGGTTTTGATTTGCATCTCTCTGGAGAACATCATCCTCAGCAAACTGACACAAGAACAGAAAATGAAACACCGCATATTCTCACTCATAGGTGGGTGATGAAAAATGAGAACACATGGACACAGGGAGGGGAGTACTAAACACTGGGGTCTATTGGGGGGAAAAGGGGAGGGCCAGTGGGAGGGGGAGGTAAGGAGGGATAGCCTGGGGAGAAATGCCAAATGTGGGTGAAGGGGAGAAAGGAAGCAAAACACACTGCCATGTGTGTACCTACGCAACTATCTTGCATGTTCTGCTCATGTACCCCAAAACCTAAAATGCAATAAAAAATTAAAAAAAAAAAAAAAAAAGAAAATGAGACAGAGAGAAAGATAGAGAGAGAAAGAGAAAGAGGTTATGTGATTATGAAGGCTGAGAAGACCTAACATCTGCATCCAGCAAGCTGGAGACCCAGGAGAGCTGACGGTGTAGCTCCATTCCAAAAGCTAGCAGGCTCCAGGGTCCATAAGATCTCATGTTTCAGTTGAATTCTGAAGGCAGGAAAAGACCAATGTCTTAGCTCAAAGCAATCAGGAAGAGGAATCTCCTCTTACTTATAACAAGGGCTTGCCTACATTAGAGAGGGCATCTGATTTATTCAGTCAACCAATTCAAATAATGGTCTCATCCAAAACACCCTTAAAGACACACCTAAAATAACATTTAACCACATATTTAGGCACCTCATGGCCCAGGCAACACAGAAAATTGACCATCACACCACCCACTACACAAATCCTTTTATTGTGTTTTCTTTCCCTCAAGATACAAAAAATGTGCATGACTTTTAGGTGCTTATAAGACTCCCATCTGCTTTCAAGCCATATTGCATCATATTTCATATTCTTCTATGTGCTTTAGCCACACTGACCTAATTATTCTGCAGATCTATGTGCTCTCATCCTTCATACAAGAGGGCCTTGTGCGTATTTATTTTCCCAATGTACTCTTCCTACCACACAACTTTCCAAGGTAAGGCCTAATCATAGCTTCCCTCTTTAGAAACTTTAGCTTTTCTGCTTAGTAGTGACAATGGCCCTTCAGAAAATTTTATTTTAAATAACTTTTCTGTATGGCAAGGGTGACATACAAATATCTAACAAATATGGCATGGGGAACAACCAATCAAAATGCATGCCAGCCACTGAATCAGTGTCCTAGAGACCCCAGTGTGCTCAAAGTCAAGGTATTCATTATTGGATTATGGTGCGTTCTAGATTGGGAT